AACGGGTTAGCTGTCCTTCCGGGAATTTTGGGCCATGGTTCAAACCCACCCAGAGGCACCTTGGAAGAAAGTCTGGTGATCTGCTTCTGAAAGGTCAAAGTCTTGAAAACCCTATGGAGCAGTTCTGCTCTGCACACATGAGGTCGCCATGAGTCATAATTGAATCTACAGCAACTGATTTTGATTTAGCTGCCCTTCTATCTCACTGCTTCCCTTCCCAGCAAAATCACTGCCTCCCTTTTTAACTCGCATTGACTCTTCAAGGGCCTGGGTTTTGCCCTGCCTCTCCCACTGACTGAACTAAAGACCAGCTCCTAGTTGGGGAGTGGACAATATTGGAACCACTCCCTCCTTTCTTCCGCAGGCCTCCAAGGCACCCCTGTTTTCTGATCATTCCTCCCCAGTGTCCTTTGTCCAGGAGCCTTGGTGGCACAATGGTTAAGTGCTCGGCTGCTAATTAAAAGCCCGGCAGTTGAAACCCACCAGCTGCTCCACGGGAGAAAGATGTGGCAACCTGCTTCCATAAAGATTTACAGCCTAGGAGACCCTATGGGGCAGTTCTATAGGCAGTCCTACTCTTTTCTATAGGGTAACTATGAGTTGGATTTGACTCGATAGCAATGGGTTTGGTTTTTTGGTTTTGGTCCTGTGCTTTCTGGGCCTTAGATGTTGGGTCCCCATGCTCCCCCTTTTCTCCTCTTTCTCTATCCTCAACTGGAATAACTTCATCTGTCTCCTTGGATGGTTCAGAGCTCCAAACCTGAGTTCAAATCATAGCCCTACCACTTACAGCTCTTTAAGATCCCATTTCCTTAGATGTAATTGGGACAATAAGGAGCTGTGGTGGTGCAACTGTTGAATATTCGGCTGCTAACTGAAAGGTTGTCAGTTCGAACCCACCCAGCAGCTGCACAGGAGAAAGACCTGGCAATCTGTTTCCGTAAAGATTGCAGCCAAGAAAACCCTATGGGACAGTTCTACTCTGTCACATGGGGTCGCTATGAGTCGGAATCAAATTGATGGCACTCAACACAACAAATCGCGACAATGATAGTCCTTATCCTCACAGGATGGTGGTGAGGATCAGGTGCATTGGTGCATGTAAAGTGCTGGCCCAGCACTCGTCCGTCAGTTTGTCATACTGTGGTGGCTTGACTGTTGCTAAGATGTTGGTGGCTATGCCACTGGTATTCAAATACCAGCAGGGTCACCCATGGTGGACAGGTTTCAGCAGAGCTTCCAGGCTAAGACAGGAAGAAAGGCCTCATGTTCTACTTTCAAAAATCATCCATTGAAAATGTTATGACTCACAACAGCATACTGCCTGATGCGATGCCAAAGATGAGTCCCCTAGGTTAAAAGGCACTACACAACAATGGACTCAAACATACCAACAATCATGAAGGTGGCACAGGACCAGGCAATGTTTTGTTCCGTTATACATGGGGTCCCTGTGAGTTGCAGCCAACTAGATGGCAACTAACAACTCCCAGCACCTGTCTGTATATTTGTCTGTCTCTCCCCTCAACCCTGACCTTGATGAGGACAGGAACTGCATGTTTTATGTCTACATTCCCACCTCTAGCCCTGTCCATAGTAGGTGCTCAGTAAGTGCTCAAAGAGTGACTACCCGGCTAACACATTGGAAACAATATGCTGGCTCCCATCGGCCGTTTGGCAAAACTGTCTTGTTCGTTTAGCCCTCGGGCCCAGACCACTGGGGTTTTCTGAGACCAGAGGAGCCACAGCTTCAGGCTCCCCTGAGCTCCTGCCCTGGAACTGGTATCCTGGGTTTTCAAAGTTTATTTGTGGGCTAATATTCTCATGCACCCATCCATGCAAGAGTGACAGTGACATCCTATAATAATACAAGCCACCCCTTGCTATGTACTAACCGTATGTCAGGAGCCCTGTCAGCCCCTTACATGTCCTATCTCATTTAAAAAAAATTGTTGTAAATATATATATAACACAACATTTGCCAATTGTCCTATCTTATTTAATCCTCTGCAGCTATAAAGCAGTTCTATTATCACCCTCTCTAATTCACCGTAAACACCAAAATCCATTTCCAGCTCATGGCAACCCCATGTGTTACAGAGCAGAACTGAGCTCCCTAGGATTTTCTTGACTGCAGTCTTTGAGGAAGCAGATCACTGGGCCTTTCTTTCGAGGCACCACTGGGTGGTTTGAACCACCAACCTTTTGGTTTGTAGCTAAGCGCTTAACCGTTTGCACCACCCAGGGACCTAACCAAGGCACCCATTGCCGTCAAGTCGATTCCAACTCATAGCAAGCCTATAGGACAGAGTAGAACTGCCCCACAGGGTTTCCAAGGAGCAGCTGGTGGATTCAAACTGCTGACATTTTGGTTAGCAGCCGATCTCTTAACCACTGGGTTAAATCACTTGCCCAGGGTCACAGTGCTAGCAAGAGGCAGAGCTGGGATTTGCACTCCAGAACCCTCGCTCAACATCACCCCACATGACCCTTTCCAGTTAGACGGAACTTGACCCGCCTGACTCAGAGAAAATGGTCCCTTTCTTTCAGGCCCTCTATCTTTCTGGAACAGAGTAGAACTGCCCCCATTGGAAACCCTATGGGGGCAGTTCTACTCTGTCCTATAGGGTCGCTATGAGTTGGAATCAACTCGACGGCAATGGGTTTGGTTTTTTGGTTTTTATCTTTCTGGGAAGTGTGCACTCATCCATCCATTCAACAATTAAATGCCTACTACATGCTACTCACTGTCTGGGTGAACAATCGCTCTTGCCCTCCAGTCATGATCCCATAAGAAGCTGTTGCCATCATCCAGAGCTGAGACCAGGGGTTATGTCAAAACTGCAGCATCAATCCAAGAGATCCCAGGGTGCCCCTTGTCCTGTGAAGCCTGGCAGAGCCCTCAGATTTGGGGCAGTGCCCCTTGCCAGGAGTCTGCGGCTGATAAAGGCACCATAGATACACGTGGCCAGATACCCGCCCATACTGCCCCCCTCCATTGCCATGGGAGTATAGGGGCCAGGGAGGAGCCTTGTGAGTCTAGAAGTAACGAAAAGATCTGAAGAGTAGGAAGAGTCTGGGGGAAGTTGATCTGAAGGGCAGACCCCCCAGGGGACCTCCATCTCTTCCCGTCTCCTAAAAACAATATTTTATAGAACAGGAGGGTCAGGAGGGATATGAAAGGGCACCTGGTCCTCCAGCTGGAAGTGTGACCAATTAGACTTATTTGGGTCACCAAATTATTTCTTTAAAGAGCAAAGTAGGGCAGCCTGGAAGAGTGGCAATAGCACACTTTGGGAGTAAGACAGACTTGGATTCCACTGGGAGCTTCTCCACTGACTAGCTCAGGGTCCTAGAGAAATTCCCGAACCTCCCTCGGTCTTGGAGTCCTCACCTATAAAATCGGGATAATGACGCTTACCAAACAGGAGCGTTGGGATTAGACATAATACAGTGTTTGTAAAGTACACAGTTCAATGTGTGGTACACAGTAAGTGCTTAATCAAGGCGGCTCTAGGTACTGGTGCTGGTGTGAGTGTTGAGAGGGAGACAATTGCTGAACTTCATCCTTGTCTTGTCTCTTCCAAGCCAAGCCAGCCCTGGTGAGGCCAGAGGAATCATTTCGAAAGTCTGAGACTCCACACCCACTATTGATCTTAAGTCTTAAGCCTGTCAAGGCCCCCACACAGACCCTCTCTTTTCCAGAGGCGGCAGGGGTTCATGATCTTCCCTAAGTTCCTATCTCCCTCTAGTGGTGACCTCGTTGTTAGCAGCTATCCAGTCGGCCCAGAGTCATGGCTACCCCAAGCGCAAGGGAAGGAAATGCTGCCTGGTCCTAGGCCAACCCCATCAGCGGCTGCAGATCAGATATTGTGATCCCTAGGGACTTCATTGGCTGACTTTCTGAAGTAGATCGCCAGGCCTTTCTTCCTAGTCCATCTTAATCTGGACGCTCCAATGAAACCTGTTCAGCTTCATAGCAACACGCAAGCTTCCACTGACAGACGGATGGTGGCTGTGTGTAAGGTGCATTGAACCCCGGTCTCCCTCATGGAAGGCAAGATTTCTACCCCTGAACCACCACTGTCCTCTGTCCCAAACATTAGATTCTCAACTGGATACCACTGAAGCCTCACAATAACCCTGAGGGTGACAGAAACTAGGAAAGTTGCCAGGCAACAACAGCCCTTAAGTGATGATGGAGCTGCAACTGGCAGCCAGCTCAGCATGACTCCAAAGCCTGTTCTCCAGAAGACTCCGTTCCTTGGCTCACTCTGAGCTGGTACTGGGCACTGCGAGGACGAGGCTCCCGGATTCCGTGAAGACAGGGCCCCTGCCCGCAAATCCAGTGAGAAGACGGAGACGCAAATGAATAATTTAAAAACAGTGTCTGCAAAGGATAGGCACCAGTAAACTCGCTTTAATGCTGAGCAGGTCAAGAGCCATAATGGCGGTGCGTAGACATTAGAGTGCGTGGAAGAAGGAGGAGAGAAGGGATGTGGGAGGTGGTTTGAACGAAGGGTAGGAGTTTGCGAGGACCAAGGGGCCGGGGAAGAGGGAACAGCAGGGGAGGATGGAAGAAAAAAAAAAAAAAGACCTGAAAACATGGATTCGGAAGAGTTTTGAAAATCATGATAGGGAATAACGGTGTTAGAATTCCCTCAGCATCCCCATGGCCCCTGACGGGCTACGGGGGCCGGCAGCAGGTGAGGAACTACCCGGCACAGCAGCCTTGTTGGAGGGCGAGGCTGCCCCCCGCCCCCGCCCTCTCCGCTCTCTCAGGGAACCACCTCGGTGGCTGCAAAGTGACCCTGTCCTGGGCGGCCTTTCGCGGGGGCGGGGCCAGAATGGCTTTAGCAGGCTCGACTTTAGGCTGACGTCACGCACGTAGGCGGGGCTCAGGGCTGTGGGGGCGGAGTCTCTAAAGGGGCGTGGCCCGACGAGGCTCCGGCCCCGCCCCGAGAGAGAGAAGGAGGAGGGAAGACCAGAAGTCTTTCCGCCTCCGCCCGCCTCCATGCTTCCTTCGGTCCCGCCCCTCAGCTCCCTGGGCAAGGTCGTGTCCCGGAAGTGAAGGGGCCATGTTGGCAGGTGACCCTGGGAGAGGTACCCGGTGAGAGGCGAATCCTGAGGAGTGGTGGCGCGCGCGGTCCGCGGGTGAGTGAGGGGAATGAGGGCCGGCGGCGGCCGGGCGCCCAGGGGCTAGCCGCGCCTCCTTTCGGTGCCGCCGGCGGCCCTCCATCCAGCCCGGCCCCCCCGTCTGCCCGCTGTGGGGGTGGAGGAGAGTCTCACCCCAGCCCCCCCTCGGCTTTCCCCTGGGAGACGCCTCCGTGTCCCCATCCCGCCCCAGCCTCCCGGAGGCCTCTCCCGCCCCCCGAGTCGGATTGCCCAACCTCGGGGTCTTCGCAGCCCAGCTTGGCTCTGCCGCCCCGAGGGTCCGGGGAGGAACTGCACTGGCGGTGCTCAGCTGCCCACTCGCCGAGCGACCTTGTAGTAACAGCCCTCGTCGTGGCGATTTCCTTCTACCTCATAAAGCACTTTTCCTTTTCCTGGTGATTTTCTAGATTCATCTCTCCAACTATGGGAGCCTCTTAGGGCCGAGCGGAGCTGTCTTGTACAGTTGAGGAAAAAGGGAGAGGGACAGTGGCTTGTTAAAGCTCACACACGAAGTTAGCAAGGCCGGAGGCTAATGGCTGGCTGGCTGGCTGGCTGGCTGGCTGGCTGACTTTGGGCCCAAAGGCCAGATCTTCTTTCCAGTCAAATACCTCCCCCTCTCAGTCTCCTTTTTTTATTTCTTCAAGAGGGTAACCATTTCTCCACCTAGGGACGTTATGCGGATGCTCTCTTTCATTCAACAGAATTTTTTGAGCCCCTGATATGTCCCAGGCACGTGCAGGGCAAGTTTGTAGAGCACCCAGAAGTGCTTTGCACATGGTAAGAGCCCAGCAAATGGTAGCTGTCATCACAGAGGCAGAGAGTTGGGGTCAGGGGTGCACCCTTCTGTTTACAGCTATGTGCCTGTGGGCAAGTTACTTCCACTTAAAATGAGGTAATGATGATATTGGGGTTGTTGATAGAGAGACGGATCGTTACTTGGGAAGTGCTTAGAGCATGCATGGTATGTGTAAGCACTCAATAAATGTTCACTATTATTGCTGTAGGGGCGCTATGAGTCAGAATCGACTCGACGGCAATGGGTTTTGTTTTTGTTTATTGTTCTGAACCCTGACCTGACTACCTCATTAGCTCCTTGGTTTAAATGTGATAATGGATGACAAAGCACATTACAAATGACAACACTTGGCTTGTGTAAGGGTTTATTGTTACTGAAGGAAGGTGGTGGCATTTTATGTATAACTAAATCTAGTATTCATTGAGCACTTATATATCAGGCTAGGTAGCACCAAGAATAGCTGTCGCTGATAGAGTGCTTGGTAGATGCTCAGCACTGTTCTAAACACATTACATACATTAACTCGTTTAATCTTCACACTGGCCATATGGGGAAAATGTGATTATTATCCTCATTTTATAGACGAGTAACTGAGGCAAGCGCAGACAGGTTAAGAACCTTGCTCAAGGTAATGCAGCTCATAAGTATGGCTCAGAGTCCCTGTCTTCAGCCAGTCTGCTGGTAGTTGCCATCGAGTTGGTTCCGACTCATGGCATCCCCATGTGTACAGCAGAACTGCTCTGTAGAGTTTTCAAGGGTTTTGGAAGCAGATGGCCAGGCCCATCTTCCCAGGTGCCTCTGAGTGGGTTTCAGCCGCCCACCTTTTGGCCTTTGCGCCACCCAGGGCCTCCACTCTAGACCGTCCCTTATGGTGAAGTTCTATTACAGGAGTTATACAGGCATTATCTCATGCAGCTCTCAAAATACTTCTATGTGGTAGGTACTGTTACTATAATATTATCGTTATCTCCACTTTACAAGTGAAGAAACTGATGCTCAGAGGGATTGAGTAATTTGTATAGTCATATGGCAAGTAAGTGGCAGAGCCAGGATTCAAGCCCAGGCAGTCTAGCTTCTGAGCCCTGGCCCTTGGCCATAACCTGTGCTGTCCCAGGAGAGGGAGTTGGGAGGCTGGGGTCTAGTTCTTTTCCTGCCATTAACTCATAGTATGACTTAGGAGTTTCTGAAACGTAGATTGAGAACTGAACTGGATGTTCTCTAAAGGCCCTTCTGACTTTAATTCTGATTCTAGACTTCTGTTTCTTCCCCTCTGCTTATAGCTCGACGCCCAGCCCCTACCAGTCCCCCATGGCCCCATGGAGCCGAGAGGCGGTGCTGAGTCTCTACCGGACTCTGTTGCGCCGGGGCCGAGAGCTTCGCTACACTGATCGAGACTTCTATCTTGCCTCTATCCGCCGTGAGTTCCGGAAAAATCAGAAGCTAGAGGATCCTGAGGCCCGGGAGAGGCAGCTGGAGAAGGGCCTGTTCTTCCTCCACAGTAAACTGGGAGGGATTGTTTAGGATCATCTTCTTTCCCATCCTACCCCAGTTCCAAGGAAAAGAGGACAAAGGTGCCTTCTGTAGACACTCCAGCTCTCTGCCACCCCCACCTCACAGATGCATTAACAAGCCTCAGGTAGGTAGGCCCTTGTTCAGGTAGGTTTCATTTTTTCTGATGCAGGAGACCAGGAGAGGGAGAACCTTTCCTTTTAGTGACCTTCCTTTAGGCATTAGTAATCAATGAGCAAATACAGACATATTTAACAGAAGCAGATTCTCTTGTTGAGGAAGAAAAGGCCCGCCAGAACAGAATTGCTAACACCATTTTATTTCATACGACATTTTACATGTGAAAATGTTAGGAAAGACATTGGTTAAAACCACAGAGCTTAGCTACAAGCCAGCTCATCCTTCAGTGCAATCAGTTATCTTGTGTGTCAGATTATGTCCTCCAAAACATAACTGTATTCTGTTATAACACAGCCTAGAAAGCAAGCATGGTGTGCAGATTCCAGAGTTACAGTGCCTGAGTTCAAATCCTGGCCCCGCTACTGGTAGCTGTGGGATTTAGGGCAAGTCACTTAACCTTTCCGGGCTTCTGTTTCCTCATGTGTAAAATGGAGATAATAGTACTTACCTCTTAAGGTTATTATGAGAATTAAATGAGATAGTGTGTGTACAGCACTTGGAATGGTACTTGGCAAGTGGTGTGTTAGCTCTATTTACACGTAATGCCAGTGTTATCAAGGAGTCCCACTGTAACGTTATAGTTATAATTAATTCAGCAGCCGTTCCCAGAGGGCCTTCCTTGGACCTGGCTTTTCTCATAGGCTCTGGGGATAGAGATGAATGATACGGCCCATCAAGGAACTCAGTCTAATGGAATCATGGGAGGTCATTCCAGTGTGTTTGGCTGTATATTAGAGCATTGTATAAAGATTATAGAGATGGGGATGAGAACGGAATTCTGCCTTGGGCAGGCTGGTGGGGAGGGCTATAAAGAGGGCATTTGAGGTCTGCCTTGAATGCGAGAAAGAAGCTTGCCAGGCAGAGGGGCAAGAATAAACAAATGCCTGGAGGTGGAAAATGCATTTTGTAGTCTGGAAACTTAAGACTGGCATGGCTAGAATGGCACATCTGTAAGGCAAGTGGCTAGAGTTGAGGCTGAGGCCAGGTTTGAAGGACATTAAATCCCCTGCTAAGGAGACTGTATATGTGACAGTGGGGGGACATCACAGCCTTTAAGCAGGGAATGACGTGGCCACATTGGGTTTTAGAGGGATCATGCTGGTGGCAGTGTGGAAGATAGATTGGTGACAGGTACTAGAAGCAGTGGATCTGGCAAGATGAGATTGAGGGAGGTGGCTGCACACAAATGCAGCATGTACAACCTTGGGGGGACTTGGTGACCAGTTGGCTGAGGCAGGAGAAGCAGAGAAGGATGAATGATATTGTGAGGACTATGGCCTGCCTGCTGGGTGGAGGGTACTGTATATAACTCAGAGGGAAAGTGGGAGGAGGGGCCTTATGTAATGGCTTTTGGTTCCCCTCAGCCACTTACTCTGTTGGCAGACCTGCCTTTGGCAACGCAGAGCCCAGGGTGGGATGGGAGCCTGCCTGCACAGGGAAGGGTAGTGGACTGGGAGGGACATAGTGATTACTGAAGTCTTTTTATTCTTAATTTAACTGAGTTGGGCTACACATCGCCACCACCACCCCCTCAAAAACAAAACAAAAGTAACCTGCCATAGGGTTAATAGTTCACTTATGCAACAAATATTTATTATGTGTCAAGCACTGCTCACCCTGGGATGTAGCAGTGAAGGAAACAAAGTGTCCCCTAGAAGCAACCCTCTAGTGGTTAGTGTTGTTGTTGTTAGGTGCTGTCAAGTTGGTTCCCACTCATAGTGACCCTATGTACAACAGAGTGAAACACTGCCCGGTCCTGTGCCATCCTCACAATCGTTGTTATGCTTGAGCCCATTGTTGGCAGCCACTGTGCCAGTCCATCTCGTTGAGGGTCTTCCTGTCTTTCGCTGACCCTTTACCGAGCGTGATGTCCTTCTCCAGGGACTGGTCCCCCCTGGTTAGTAGGAGATGTGAATAGGTGGGGTTGCAAGCCACTTAGGAGCCCTTTAAACTAGTTATTCCCAGCAGCATGAGCTCTGGGTTCAAGTCCTGGCTGCACAACTTACTGACATGGTGAGCCTGGGCCAGTTACTTAACCTCTACTTCAGTTTCTTCATGTGTAAATTGGAGCTGATAATACTACTGGTCTCATGGGATTGGCATCAGGATAAAGGAAGTAATATGTGTAAAACGTCCAGCACAGCACCCAGCACATGGCACACACAGTATATATCTGCTGCTGTTCTCATGTGTAGTTAAGCCAGAGATGGTGGCTTTAAGTCACATGACTATTTCAAGTAAAATTCCTGGATAAATTGGAATTTTCATAGTTCAGTGCTGTCATCCTAGGAAGCCACAAGGCCGGAGACAGGTTAAATAACTCACCTGAAATGTTGGTAGAGCTGAAACTCTCCATCCTCAGCCCTGCCTACCAGGTCAGTGTTCCTTCTGGATTGACTGCCTGGCCCCTATCTCCTTGCCAGCTGGAATTCCTGCCTCCTAGATGGCTCCAAGATAGGACAGCAAGAAACCATTTGGAGGATGTACAGTGGATAAGCAGAAAAAGGCCTCGTCTCTCCCTGTTGGAGCTCATAGGTGCTTTCCTGTTCCAGGCCACCAGCTCTAGGACAACTATTGCACTAGAGGTGGAAGCGCTTTTAACACGCCTGCCCAACCTTCTGTTTTGATCTCAAGCCCAGATAGCATCAGTGTGAGTGTAGAGGCCATTCTTTAGCTCAGTCTCAAAGGGTGAAAGGTAACTCGGGACAGTCCAGATTGCCAACTGCCTTCTGGAAGCTGGTCTTTTGTCCTGTGGGTGGGAAGCTAAAGAAACTTAATGACAGCCCACATTTGTGTAGCACTTTAGAGTTTACAAACTGTTAACATACAGTATCTTAGTAGAGGGTTTTTCCTTACATCAACCCTATGATTTAGGCCATGCAGGGATCATTCTCGTCTCTTCAGAGCTAACCGTAACTCATTTGAGGTTACCCAGAGCTCAAAGGCAAGTACTCAGTCTCAGCATTTCCGACTCTAAAACCCACGTTCTCCTCCATCCTGCTGCACAACTACCTCCTTCTTACCAGCTATCAGAAGGCCCAGGGAGGCTCCTTCCAACTTCTGCTCAGTTCATTTTCAGGGATTACGTAGAGGGTAGGTGCAGCCAGGGGTTCTCCTTTTTGTATTATTCATCAGTAAAAGTTTTTTGTTTTTTTAAAATGAAACTAGAGTCATCATTATGTGTGGGGAAATGTGTGAAGTCCCATTTTTTCCTGATGGGCTTACTCTGCCTCAGCTGAGTTTGACGTGTCCCGTCTGTCTTCAGTGGCCACTGAAGGGAAGCTGACTAGCTTTTTTTGCCTGACCCCACCTATAAATACAGACCGTAACTCTTCTCCTTGGTCTTGCTTGCTCCGTGCAGTTGAAGTAGGGATGGACTTCATTTGCCCAAATAGTCTCTCATTGTGTCCCTAAACTTGAAGCCTCTGTTGACTATGAAAGGTGCCACCAAGGTTGTGAACTCTAGTTAGGGGGAAAATATTTTTGGACTTGTGACAATGACTCTTGGTTCACTCAGTTGCTGGAATAAGGGGAGTCAGAAATATTTTTCTTTTTTTATGTGTATGGGGGTTATAGACAGGAGACATGAGATATGAAATTAGCAATCCCCAGTTGTAACACAGATAGTCACCAATTGACGACATATTTGACTTGTGACGAACCTTACTTATGACCAGCTATCTGGTTTTTTTTTGTTTTTGGTACATCTTATTGTTAGTAATACGTACTACATACAATGTTAAAATATATATGTAATGTTTCCAATCTCTAAAGACAAATAATGATTGGATTTATAAAGATACTGATAATAAAAGGCAATAATAATGAAAACTAAAAAAAAGATATTTGACTTATGTCAGAACCAACTTACAGTAGAGTCATGGGAACAGAACCCCGTCATAAGTCGGGGACTCCCTGTATTAGGAAGAATGTTATTTTACACTGGAAGGTGTTCTCAGTGATTCTGTTTTTTGGTATCCTCCCTTTCTGGAGATACTGGGACCCTGAATGGTATACAGCTGTCTTTCCTTGTATCATTCCTGTGTATAGGACATGGAAGGTAGAAGAGTGTAGCAGTGTTGGGAGCAATATTCAGATCTGAACCACATTGCTGTCCTTTATCTGGGTCAGCCCAGGGTTCTGACTCCAGGGGAAATGGCGTATTTGGGGGTTACTGGCACTTCCATCAGGATGACTCCATTGTTGCCAAGGAGCAAGTATGTGCCTGCCTCTTGTGACTGCTGTATGGGAAGCCCAGTGGTGTCTGCGTTGGTGAAGAGGCCAGCTGCTTCTGTAGTGGGCCCACGAGCTCATTTTTGGTGACCACATTTTTAATCTTCCAGGTGCATTGATCAAATGCTTTTCTGTTTGTTTGTCTTACAGTTAACAGCCAAGTCTACCAGCGTCCTTTGTGCTGAATCTCACAGTGCCATCCTCACCTGAGCCTTTTGTAGTCCTGCTACACATTTGCCCCAAGAAACAAAGCATTTGTCAGGTGGGAGCAGCCACAGAAAGTCGTTTGCTTCTTTGGACCTTCCTCACATATGGACTGGTAATTATGTCTCCATGTGCAAGGTGTCTGGCCCGTGTTATTTTGAGTTGTTTTTTTTTTTTTTCCCTAGAAGATAGATAAAATAAGGACCAATTTGATTAGTTTAAGGTTAGGAACAATATAGGAGTCCCTGGGGAGTATAACAGTTAACGTGCTTGGCTGCTAACCAGAAGGTTGGAGGTTCAGGTCCACCCAGAGGCAGCTTGGAAGAAAGGCCTGGCAATCTACTTACAAAAAAATCAGCCACTGAAAACCCTATGGAGCACAGTAGTACTCTGTCACACCTGGGGTCGCCGTGAGTTGGAACCAACTCAGTAGCAACTGGTTTTAAGCAGTGTTTTTTTTAATACTGTACTTAGGTGAAGGTTTTTAGAACAAATAGTTTCTCATTAAATAGTCAGTATACATATCGTTTTATGACATTGGTTAATAACCCCACGACATGTCAACACTGTCCCTTCTCGACCTTGGAGGACCTTTCTTTTGGTGAAAATCTACATAGCCAAAGAGACACCATTTCAAAAATTGGTTTTAAGTAGAAAAAGCATCATACTAGTAGTTGGGAGTCCTGAGGTCTGGGGATGATGCTGCCATTCCTTTTCTCTGGGACCTCTGGCCAGTCACCTCCCTATATGTGAAGTGATGGAATGTCACCTCCCTATATGTGAAGTGATGGAATGGGATTAGATGAGCCTCAAGGCCCTTCTCAGATCTAACCAAAAGGAAATCTTTGTGAAGGGGTAGAGGGGGCTGTCTTGAGTGGTAGGCTACTTCACTCGAATGTGAGAAAGTGAGGTGGTTGTTGTGTGCCATCGAGTCGATTTCAACTCACAGTGACCCCATAGGACAGAGTAGAACTGCCCTGTAGGGTTTTCTAGGCTGTAATTTTTACTTCAGGTCTTTTGTTCTGCAGAGCCGCTGGTAGGTTCAAACTGCCAACCTTTTGGTTAGCAGCCAAGCACTTAACCAGTCTGCCACTAGGGCTCCTTCAAACAACAAGGTTAATACTTCTAGAATCTCAATAGATTAGTGGAGAGGTTTTCCCACAATAAGCATGATCAGCTCTCCCTTTCATCCAGATCATGGTGTCTCCCTCTAGACCCTAGAATATGGAGCATGCAGTGCCGGAGGCAAGAGGATTTGGGTTGCCAGAACTCCACTGAGTACCCTGAACTTGTTGGGGCTGGCCTGCTGGGAAAGGGAGGGGAACGGATGGGTTTTGAGTGACCACTACCTTTGACATCCCAGTGGTGATGGCTGTGCTCTGCCTTCATCCTCAGGTGAGCAATGGCAGGCGCTGGTGAGCGCAAAGGCAAGAAGGATGACAATGGCATCGGCACGGCCATCGATTTTGTGCTCTCCAATGCCCGGCTGGTGCTGGGGGTGGGTGGAGCGGCCATGCTGGGCATTGCCACGCTGGCGGTTAAGCGGGTAAGTGCAGACAGCCAGGGCCAGGGATGGGAGAGGTGGTGAGGCACCCTTGGCAAGGTAGAGCTTGGTTATTTGGCATTATTAGGTGAGAGTGTAAGAGAATTACAGTAATTCTACTTCTAGGACTCTGCCCTAAAGAAATTACTGGAGATACAAATAAAGAAGCTTATCCCAGTGAGTGAAAAACTGCAAATAACCAAAATATCCTTCCTGGAGTATTGCATCGCTTCTGACACCAACTGTGGGGCTGTAGTTCTCTCTCTGACCCTAGCCACCTAGAGCCAGGTCAGATCTCACAAGTTAAAAGGACACTGTCCTTCAGACTGCCAAATAGGAAGCCGCCAGCCGTGAGTTTGGGAGTCCACATGACATCCTCACTTCTGACCAAACCAAAAAAACCAAACCCATTGCCTTCAGTCGATTCCGACTCATAGCGACCTTACAGGACAGAGTAGAGCTACCCTATAGGGTTTCCAAGGAGTAGCTAGTGGATTTGAACTGCTGACCTTTTGGTTAGCGCCTGAACTCTTTAACCACTGCACCACCAGGGCTCCCACTTCTGACCAGCTGGCTATAAATTTGGGGTTTTCTTCTACCCCTTCAGGATGCCAGCTGCAAGCTCGGGAATCTCTCCTGAGCTCCGTAACTTCTGATATGCTGGTTACAAATTCGGGGTTTTCTTCTACTCCTTTAAGATGCCAGGTGCAAGTTCTGGAGTCCCCCTGGGCTTTCTCTCTCTGACCTGCTGGCTTCCACTACTCCTTTGGGTTCGATAATTCGCTGGAACAACTTAGGGAAGGTGCTGCATTTAACCGTTACAGCATTATTGTGGGAAAAAAGGATACAAATAAAGAGACACATAGGACAAGGTCTGGGAGGGTCTTCAGTGTGGAGCTTCCATGTCCCAAAGGATGCACTATCCTCTTAGACCATCAGCATCTTTCACCAACCAAGAAGGCCATGGAGTTTCTCTGCCAGAGCCTTTATTGACTTCATTACATAATCAAGATGGATTGTATCAGCCCCTCCATCCCCTGAGGTCAGCTGATATCAGGCCAAGTGGTGGTCTTTCTGGTCAGGCCCAGCCCCCACCCACTAGCACAAACCTTCAGGTATGGTTTAGATAACAAAGGCCCTTTAAATACTCAGGAACCAAGGACAAAGCCCAAATTACTTGAGGTAAAGTAATTCTACTTTATTTTTATTAACATTTGTCTTTGTCTACACATTTTATATTTAACTTGTTTATTATTCATTGTTGTATCCCCCTACTTGACTGAAAATTCCAAGAGGGCAGGGATTTTGGTCTATGGGTTACTGCTTTATTTTTAGCACCTAAAACAATGCCTGTTGTTGTTGTTACGTGCTGTCGAGTCGGTTCCAACTCATAGCCATCCTGTGTACAACAGAATGAAACACTGCCTGGTCCTTTGCCATCCTCATAATCATTGTTACGCTTGAGCCCATTGTTGCAGCCACTATGTCAATCCATCTCATTGACGGTCTTCCTCTTTCTTGCTGACCCTCTACCAAGCATGATGTCCTTCTCCAGGGACTGATCCCTCCTATCACATGTCCAAAGTATGTGAGACGGAGTCTTGCCATCCTTGCTTCTAAGGAGTATTCTGGCTGTACTTCTTCCAAGACAGATTTGTTTGTTCTTTGGCAGTCCATGGGATATTCAATATTCTTCGTCAACCCTCCAACTCAAAGACGACAGTTCTTCAGTCTTCCTTATTCATAGTCTAGCTTTCACATGCATATCAGGCGATTGAAAACACCATGGCTTGGGTCAGGCACACCTTAGTCCTCAAAGGGACATCTTTGCTTTTTAACACTTTAAAGAGATCTTTTGCAACAGATTTGCCCAATGCAATGCCTGGCACATAGTATTTGTTGAATAAGTGAATCAGTGTTTAACATTATGGTACGGTAGTCCCCTTTTATCTGTGTTGTCACTTTCCATAGTTTCAGTTACCCGTGGTCAACCGTGGTCCAAAAATATTAAATGGAAAATTCCAGAAATAAACAATTCCTAGGTTTTACATTGCGCACCATTCTGAGTAGCGTGATGAAGTCTTGCGCTGTCCTGCTCAGTCCTGTCCAGGAAGCGAATCATCCCTTTGTCCAGCATATCCACACTGTGTACGCCACGCACCTGTTTGTTCGTCACTTAGTAGCCGTCTCAGTTATGAGAGCCACAATCGAGGTATCCAGTGTTTGTGTTCAAGTAATTCTTATTTTACTTAATAACGGCCCCAAAGCACAAGAGTAGTGATGCTGGCAATTTGGATATGCCACAGAGAAGCCGTAAAGTGCTACCTTTAAGTGAAAAGTGAAAGTGTTCGACTTAATCAGGAAAGAAAAATCATATGCTGACGTTGCTGAGATCTAGGGTAAGAATGAATCTTCTGTCTGTGAAATTGTGAAGAAGGAAAAGAAATTCGTACTGGTTTTGCTGTCGCATCTCAAACTGCAAAAGTTAAAGCTACAGTGCATGATAAGTGCTTAGTTAAGATGGAGAAGGCATTGAATTTGTGGGTGGAAGACATGAACAGAAAATGTGTTCCAATTGATGGCAGTGTGTTGCACCAGAAAGCATTGAGGGTACACGAAGACTTCAGCAAGGGGTCCCCTGAAACGAGGGACACCAAGCTGTTTACTGCAAGTAAGGGATGGTTACAGTGCCTACATCATTCACCTCACTTCATCTCATCACGTAGGCATTGTATCATCACAGGAAGAAGAGTGAGTGCAGTACAATAAGGAATTCTTAGAGAGGCCACATTCGTATAACTTTTATTACAGTGTATTGTTTTAATTCTATTTTATTATTAGTATCATTGTTAATCTCTTACTGTGCCTGATTTATAAATTAAACTTCATTGTGTATGTATAGGAAAAAACGTAGTATATAGGGTTCGGTACTGTCCTTGGTTTCAGACATCCACTGGGGGTCTTGGATCGTATCCCCTGCAGATAAGGGGGGACTACTGTACATTCATAAGGTACAGTGTTGCATAGTCATAAAAATGTTGACGTATTCTTAGTGATATGGGGAAATGATCAAAATGATGTTAAATGAAAAAATCAGTTTCCAGAAGTATATCTAGAAAATGATCCTAATTACATAAATATGTATTTCCAGAAAGAAATATAGCACAGTATTAACAATAGTTCTCTTTGGGTTGTGGTGTTATGGATAAATTTGCTTCTCAGCTGTATTATTTAGTATTTCCTCAGTTTTTCTACACAGAACAAAGTATTGTATAATCTAGAAAAAAAACAAAGTTATTAAAAATCATTAGTTGCACTTGCCAGGGTAAAGCTTCTGGGAAGGAGGGAAGTTGGAAGGAAGTAGAGGACAGAAGGAAGGTGTATGTCTTGTGTCCTCTCTGCTCTTTCAGATGTATGACCGGGCAATCAGTGCCCCCACCAGCCCTACCCGCCTGAGTCATGCCAGGAAAAGGAGCTGGGAAGAGCCAAACTGGATGGGCTCCCCCCGACTGCTGAACAAGGACATGAAGACAGGCCTGAGCCGGTCCCTGCAGACCCTCCCTACGGACTCCTCGACCTTTGACACAGGTGAGAAAGGCAGTTACCCATTTTGGGACTCACCTTGGCCTTTCTGCGCTGCTCTTGCATTTGACAAACATTTCTTGAGCACCTATGTGCTGGGCACCATGCTCACACTTGCCGTTTGCACCAAGCCCTTCTCCTTTCTGGGGCTGAGGCGGCTGTGGACCGAGCAAGCATGGGAAGAGCTCACGTGCCTCTCTCTCTTGCTTTGGCAGATACATTCTGCCCACCCCGGCCCAAACCATTGACCAGGAAGGGCCAGGTAGACTTGAAGAAGTCACGGCTCCGCATGTCCCTGCAGGAGAAACTTCTTACTTACTACCGGAACCGGGCAGCCATCCCTGCCGGCGAGCAGGCTCGGGCCAAACAAGCTGCTGTGGACATATGTGCCGAACTCCGGGGCTTCCTGCGGGCCAAGTTGCCTGACATGCCACTTCGGGACATGTACCTGAGTGGCAGCCTCTACGATGACCTGCAGGTAACAAGGTGGTTCTCACCAAGGGTGGGCTGGGTACTGACTGAGATGCTCCTCAGTAATGCCACTGGTACGGAATGTCGGTGCCCTGGCCTCGTCAGAAAGACTGATGTCTTCAGCTTCTGAGGCTCGCACACAGTGTTTGGAGAGCCATGCTTGTCATTTTTTGCCCTTGTGTTTTCTTTAACCCTTTCTCATCTTTTCAGTCATACTTATCTCTTTTAAGAAGCTATAAGAGTTTCCTCCTTCCCATATTCTTGGCCCCGCCTGTCCTTTCTAGCTTTCTCTCCTCTTGAGTCTGCGCTCTGTGTTTCATGGCATGGGGGCAGTTGTGTGCACTTCTGTGCCCAGAGGTGAGGGGCCCTGGTGGGATGAGCCGTCTCTGGTGTCCTCACTCCATGTGAATTGATACAGTGGCATGAAAGATATCTGAGTTTCCTTTCTTATTGGAGTGAAGATGGTAGGACCTACATTTGAGGAAGCATGTCTCTTTAGTAGATTGAATCCCTCAAAACCTTTTTAATTCTTCTGCCCTGACAGGTGGTGACAGCCGACCACATCCAACTCATTGTGCCCCTTGTGCTGGAGCAGAACCTGTGGTCATGTATCCCTGGTGAGGACACCATCATGAACGTCCCTGGCTTCTTCCTGGTTCGTCGTGAGAACCCAGAATACTTTCCTCGTGGAAGCAGTTACTGGGACCGTTGTGTAGTAGGAGGCTACCTCTCCCCAAAGACAGTGGCAGACACGTTTGAGAAGGTAGTGGCTGGCTCCATCAACTGGCCGGCCATAGGGTCCCTCTTGGATTATGTGATCCGACCAGCACCACCCCCAGAGGCCCTGACGCTGGAAGTGCAGTATGAGCATGACAAGCATCTCGTGATTGACTTTCTGCCATCAGTGACACTTGGTGACACTGTCTTGGTTGCCAGACCACACCGACTAGCCCAATATGACAACCTGTGGCGGCTGAGCCTGCGTCCTGCTGAGACAGCACGCTTGCGGGCTTTGGACCAGGCTGACTCGGGCTGCCGATCTCTGTGCCTCAAAATCCTCAAGGCCATATGCAAGTCCACTCCGGCTCTGGGTCACCTCACTGCCAGCCAGCTCACCAACGTGATCCTCCATTTGGCCCAGGAGGAGGCTGACTGGTCTCCGGATGTGCTGGCCGACCGTTTCCTGGAGGCCTTGAGGGGACTTATCAGCTACTTAGAGGCTGGAGTCCTGCCCAGTGTCCTAAATCCCAAGGTGAACTTATTCACAGAGCTCACCCCTGAAGAAATAGACGAATTGGGATACACTCTCTATTGCTCATTGTCTGAGCCAGAGGTGCTGCTGCAGATGTAGAGCAGGTGAAGGCCAGAGTGGGTGTTGGGTGGTCAGGCCCTGGATTCTCTGTTAGAAAACACTTGGCTACATAGTTGGTGCCTCACAGGGTTCCTGGGTGCTTCCTGTCCTGCTGGTCATTGCCCTGGTCATGTCACGCTGAACAGAACGACATCTCTTCAGTTCCTGTTTTCTCACCCAACCCTTTCTATTTTTGCTACCAAACACTGTGCTTCCTACTCCTCCCCCCTCTCCCCCCCATCCCCCTGCTACATTTTCACAATGAATTGGAAGGCGGAACACTGACCTGTACTGTTGAGACAACTTGGTGTTTTGCATTTTGGCCCAGGGTCCTGCTTCTGTCCATCCTGCCTCTGCACTGGGGCCTGTTCCTTTTTCAGTGTCTTGTCTTTGCCATCCTTTCTTCTCTTTCACGCCTTCTGTTTTGCCTTTTTCCCTGGAGCACATCTTCTTAAGCTGCTGCTTCCAGCTGAGTGCCATTGAAGAGCTGTGGCTGCTTGTTTCCAAGTAGAACTCTAGAGTGAGTGCTAAGACAGTATTGAAAGTTTCTTGGGGTCACGCTAGCGCTTCGACCTGGAAAAGAAGCCCATTCCCCTCACCTCCTGACCAACTCATTCGTAAGTGCTAAGAACGTCATGGGAACACTGTTATTGACCCACACCGGAGTGAGGGCTCAAGATAAACTGGATGCAAAGTGATTGGAAGACTATTTCTTAAGGGCCATCAGTGAGAGTATGGCATGGGGCCACTGGAGGTGGTGTAGAGGGGCTGTGCCTCATGTCTGTGTCTCATCCACTGTGTCTCATCCCTGGCTGGTGCAGGCCAGTGCTGCTGTGTGCGGAGATCAGATGACAACAAGAAAGGAAGGAGGCTGCCAGGGCGGCACCACACCAAGTATGCTGTTCTTCACCCCTTCCTTGCCTTATGCCAATTAGGACAAGGCCTTTAAGGAATGCAGCCTTAGCAGTAGAGGTTGAAGGAGGTCAGCCAGAAGCTGCATGTCAGCTGGAGAATCCTGTCACCAGTTGAGGCTCAGTGACAATGTTTTGCCCCCAACAGGCCCTGCCTTTCTAGGATGTTGCCTTAGAGCAGAAACAGGCCCAACAGTCAGCCCTTTGTCCCCAGTGGATGTCACAGGAATGTGAAGGGGTGTTGGCTGAACTCTCCTGGCACCTCCAGAGGCCAAAGGGCAACCAAACACATGCAGGCCTCTTTCCCCATGTCCCGTCTCTCACTCACACCTGGGGAGATCCCATCTCTCACCCGCACCTGGGGAGGTCAGTGCTACCCAGGAAGAGCACCTGGAGAAAAACATATATAAGAGGGAGATGGGGACTTCTATGCTCCTTTTTATTTCCTGCTGCTAAAGTTGCACTATTTATTGTGATGTGAAAGTATCCTGAGAGTGGGAAGAAGCGTTGAATACACGATGTCAGTGCGTCCTGTTTTCTGGGTTGTTTTTTTTCCTGTTTGTGGCAAGAGGCTGATAAATTCTGTTTCTTATCTGCCCATCAGTATTTTGTCCTCCCATCAAGTATGCTCCCTCTGCATCAGTGAGATTCTGGTGAAGCTCTCTGCAGCTGTCTCATTCCTTCCCAACAACAGTGACATGAAATGACTTTAAATAGCTCTGAAGCCTCAGCTACCCTCTGAATTTAGGGTAGAGATTCTTGCGCCCTGTTTGTCATAGACTGGGAGGTTGAGAACTAGGGTTACTCTTGCTATTCTTCCTGCCTTTCTCCCATATATATGCAAGGGTGCTTTAAGGTGACTCAGTTGGTTGTCTGTATGAAGTATCGAGATAGAAAGATCGAGCTCAGAACCTTGAGAGACATGCTAGTGCAGAAATTTCCCACCCTGGCTGTTCATCAGAATCAAATGGGAGTTTAAAAAAAATACATGTGCCCAAGTGCTGCTGGGCAGACTGGTGCAGTGGGTGTGGGTGAAGCCTGGGCGTCAGTGGCTTCAGGCACCCACCAGGCATCTGTCACAGGGGAGGGCTGGTAGTGTTGCAGAAGCGGGGATTAGTCTTCATGGAGAGAGGATTTGGTATCCCTGCTGTGACTATTATAAAGTCTATAGTTTTCCCACTCGCCATAGAAAACATTGGAAGGAGAGCTCAAAACCGAAATGATTTTTAAGACAGTTCCAAACCGTCAAAGGCAAGTGTAATTGTGACTTTAGGAAGGGAAACAAGTTTACCTTCTCTCTTAAAGAACATCTCTGTGTTCTAACCATGTCGGTCACAAAATCAAACACCATAGTTTTGACGTTTTACAAGCAAGTACCAGTTAGAAGTCCTGAGAACTGCCACCAGCGGTGGGAAGGCTCTGTCCTGTCCTGGTGGGTTTGTTGATTGGGACTGGGCAAACCACTCTTTGCTGCCATTTTCCTCCTCATAAAAGGTGGAAGATAGTTTAAGTGCTTTGAGATTCTTGGATGGAAGAGGAGGACATCATTCTGCCTTGTTTGTTTGTTTAAACTTTAGTTAAGATGCAGTGGCTTTCCCTTCCTCGCTGCCTCTTTGTTCAGTAACTCCTACCTTTGCCTGAAGTAATAGCATCTGCTCCTGCTTCTCTGTCTGGAGGGTTTTTGTACCATTTAGGTTAGCAAACCACACACTGAGCCTCAGACTTGAAAAAGACACTTGTTATTGTCCTGAAAACCTAACAAAAGGTTTTTTTTTCGGTTTTTCCCTGTTGCCCCTTCCTAAAAAATGAGTTCAGAACAGTAATGTCTTTGTTTTTACAATTGGTTGGGACTGTTTTTTTTTTTTTTAATAAATTAACATCAAAGCTCATGTTTGGTAAACTTGCGTTTACACTCCAAATTAGCTGATTTTGCTCCCATATCCTCCACTCCAGTTGAGAGCTCAAGTGGTTTTGATGAGGAATCAGCTTTAAGATCAAAGGGCCCTGGAGAGTCTCTGCGGGTGATTTTCCAGTAGGGAATTTTGCATGTGTCTGGGTTGCTCTGCTCAGGTCCTTAGGACTAGGGCCCTGGCTGTGAACTTCTCAGAGGATTTGTTAGAGCTCTGCCCTTTCTTCCTGAAGTTCAAGGACAAGGGTAAGAGACATTTAGGCCAAGGCTGACCCTGCACCAGGCTGTAAGGCTGTAGCCCTGTTAGACACTGCTGGACTAACACAGTGACCAGAATACCAGGGGTTATTCTCAGGTAACTGCAGTCAGGATGGTGTTTACCTTTTCATTGTGACCACCTTGTAGACTTTAAACTCTTGGTCCTGAGACCAAGTCCACAACTTGCCTTCTAGTCACTTGTCTAGCCTTCAGTGGCAGTTGATATGTATATCTGGCTAATTTGGAGTCTGTCACCAGTCTTTCTGTCCTGTCTTGGCTAGGTCCATGTAGGAACAGCTTAGTCCTGAGACCCAGAGAACCACTATTCTTTTTCTCCTTGAGGGAGGAAATACAGCTGGGGAACATGATCCTTCCACAGCATGGGAAGAAGAAAATAAAACCATCCTTTCCAACAGCTTTGACTTTTTGTATGCGATAAGAAACACTTCCCTTTCGGAGTGGAACTGGGTCTCCATTGTCAGCAAGCATAAGCTTTGAAAGACTTGACCTGGGTCTCCATAATAGAATGGATGGGGCAGGCTGCACCTGGAGTCATTCTTCTGTGACCTCTGCAGTGCCAAAACTAGGGCAGTGTTCAGTGAATCAAAACCAAACCCGCTGCCGTTGAGTTGATTCCGGCTCATAGCAACCCAACAGGACAGAGAAAGACCTGCCTCAGAAAGTTTCCTAGGCTATAAATCTTTACAGAAGCAGACTGCCACATCTTTCTCCCATGGAGCAGCTGGTGGGTGCAAACCGCCAACCTTTGGGTTAGCAGCTGAGTGCTTTCACCACTGCCACGCCACTAGGGCTCCTTAATTCTCAGCCATCTGCGTGATCATCAGGCAGGAGGAACTGGCAAGTCTTGTGATAGAGCAAGAGGAGGACATGCCCCTAGGGGCCCTTAGTTACACTTTAGAAGACTTGTATAGTGGCTCAGGGGCTCTCACTGCCTTTTCCTGAAGGATTACACAGCTTCTGTGTATTTCAACACTCATGATTCCCCAAGGGGAAAGAACCACTCTTACATCCCAGCATCTAGTATGCCTTGCATATCTCAGATGTTTTGTAAATAGTAAAGAATAGTGAAGTCCCCGAGGAAGCAGGATGATATAATGGAGATAGGGGCAGGGGGACTGGGAGGTCAGGATCAGAAGACCTGAGTTCTAACAGTAAGAATAGTAACCATTTACTGAGCACTTACTGTGAACCAGGCACCATGCTAAGTGCTTTACATATATGATCTCATTTACAGACGAGGAAATTGAGGCTCACAGAGGTTAAGTCAGTTAGTCAAATGTCCCAGCTAATAAATGGTAGAGCCAGGATTGTTAGGTTTAGCCCCCAAATCTGTCTTCTAACCCCTAGTCTGGAGTCCCTGGGTGGTGCAAACGGTTAATGCACTTGGTTGCTAACTGAAAGATGGAGATTCAAGCCCACCCTGAGGTGCCTCAGAAAAAAAGTCTTTGAAATCACGCATTGGCACATCAGTTGACTTGATGGCCTACCCCATACTGCCTCTAGTAGGAGCTGTGTGGCTTTGGGCAAAATGCCTCATCCCATTAGGCCTCAGTTTACCACTGTAAAAAATTTGTTGGGCTACATTGAATACAAGTCAACAAATGGTCTGTAGTTCTCTAGGATAGTGCTTCCCATGTTTTTTTTTTTTTTTTTTTTTAACATCATAGCCCTGGTAGAAATGATAACTATATGGCGCACTGATGAATGGAGGAGGAATTAGGCCTCTGCCGAGCAGGGTCCGACTATGCAGGGGATTAAAGGATGGTGGCGAGGTTTCTCCGCGCACTCTACAGCTCCACTACAGAGAGCAAGCAAGTCGCTAGCCCTGACTGAGATGGCAGCATCCAGACATACCAAACCCCAGCAAGTGGACATAGTTCTCAAGCTTCTCACAGGGTCACTAGGATGACTTGGTGTGAAGTTGGTTATGCTTGGGAGTTAACAGAACTGGGAGTTAATTGAAACTATCCTAGACTGAGAGATGTCAGTAGAATAAAATCTGTGTTCTTAGGGGAGTTGAATCTACATAAACTGGAAGAAATTCCCGATAGACTGCATACTTTAATAGCATAGAAAACATAGTTTCGCAGAATGGATATTGTAAAAACACAGGTTGGGCTATAAAGTTACGCATCTTTCCTGGCACAAGGAGTTCGGGGTGAGGACTCCGCGCTGGGCCTTGATGGTAGCTGCGCATGGGTCAGGTCATGTCCGAACGGAGGTCCCAAGATTTAGCGCCCTCTCATCGCCCCTCTCAGCTGCGTGAGGGCCTGCACGTGGTGAATACACACATGTAATGACGTTTCCCTTTTGACTTAGTTTTATCTTAGGGCCAGGAGCGGGTCAGTAATTTATGTCCGCGGCCCCGGGTGCTCTCATCTCCCCTGAATTCATGTCATTGCCTCAAGGCATTTTTATTGGAAGTTAACATTTTTTGTTTGCCATTTTTCTTTGCTATAGTTACAAGACTCCCCGAGACTTCTGGAGGCAATTTTGTTAGCTATTAATAGCTATCTCTGGTGGACAGTCAGCCGCCCATGTGGGATCGCTCGGTTTAGATAAAGGCGTTGCACTAGGTAACTTCAGGGCTTTCCAAGTCGGAAGTGAACCCCATCTGTATAAACGTAAGAACAAAAGATGGGCGGAGGAATTCGGGGACCGAGAGTACGGCTTGGCGCTAGTTCGTGGCGTCAATGACGAAGGGAAGGGGCCGGGCCCTGAGGCCACTGTCTGGGGCGCACTAGAGCTGCCCGGAGACGGGAGCCGGCGCGGTCGTGGTTGCTGAGCGGCCCGGACTGAGAAGGGCACTCCAGCGGCCACATCTCAGAAAAAGGTCAGCGAAAGGCCGAGCCCGACGGCGGGAACCGCCGTGACGGCTCTGTCCCTTCCCGCGCAACCCTGGGCTAGGTCATCGAGCAGCCCGCCCACCTAGGACCCTGATCCAGTGGGAGCTCGAGACACGTATAACTCACCATGCCAGGGCCAATCAGCTCGACGCGCGCTCCCCGCCAGCATCTCGCGCGATAACCAGGCCGCCTCGGACTTCACAATAAAAACCTTATGTGAGATGAAAGGCCTCTCCCCGCCCCTCGTGCTGACGCCGGAAGCGAGGTGACCGAGAGATTCCTCCGCGCTCCCCGGAGCCGAGGGAGGTGTCTGATCTTAGAAGCCTTGTAAAGTAGTGCGCCTTTTCTTTTTGTGAGGCCTTGAAAATAACTGATTTTATTTTTACTATTACGCCCTGGACATAAAGGTCGTCGGTTGGAAAAGATAAGGGGGTCAGATAGGTGAACACTCGGAGGTAGGAGGTGAAGGTCACGTGACCACGGCGGAGGGACATGTCTGCGATCGGCATCACAGACGCGAAGTCTATAAAGGGCCGGCGTAGACAACGCGGCCATTTCTTCTCCGGTCATTAGATGTAGAGCACGTTCGCAGCACCGCGCCTTTTTCCCTCGCGCAGGGTCCGCAGCCGCCATGGCGTATTAGAGGCAGTAGTGCCTGCGGCAGCATTGGCCATTGCAGCGGCGGCAGCAGCACCAGGCTCTGCAGCGGCAACCACCAGCGGCTTAAGCCATGGCGTAAGTATTGGGGTGGGTCGCGCTGGCCGGGAGTCCTGGGCCGAGCGGAGTTGGCTGGGCTGGGTGCGGCTTTGAGGCCGGGCGGCGTCGCAGAGGGAGGAAGCCGTTTTACGAGGCGTCTGCGACGCGTAACCCGTTTGGGTGTCTCGGAGACGCTAGTGCTTCTAGGTCGGGAGGGCGTAGCCTGGCGCCACGGGGAGAAGCCCCCAGCAGCCTCGGCACCGTCTCGGTCCCCCGAGCCCATCGAGTGTCTTGGGCTGTCGTCCTGTGAAACGTGGCAAGCGCCAAGATGGCGGCAGGCAGGGCGTTGGCTGTAGCCGGTGGGGGCGGGGCCGCGGTGTCGTGGCCGTATTTGGGCGGGACAGAGCACCTTCCCCCGGTGGCTGGGTAAGGAATGGCCCAGCCTGCGTGGGCGTCCATTTTGTGCAGCCATAGCCGGGACGCAGCGAAGGTTGGCCCAGGGCCTGTGAGGCCACGTGTGTCCCATTCTCTAAAGCCAAGTGGATTTCTGTTTGGCCGTCTTGATTTAGGGTAAAAAGATGAAATTTCTAGACAAGTCAGCTTATGATGGGATTTTGTTCCTGGCTCCTTTCAGGCTTTTCACAGCATTCAGCAGCAGCGTTGCTGTAACCGACAAGGACACCTTCGAATCAAGCACATTCCTCGATTCCAGCAAAACCTCGCAACATGGCCGAGATGAGCTTCCTGAGCAGCGAGGTGTTAGTGGGGGACTTGATGTCCCCCTTCGACCAGTCGGGTTTGGGGGTTGAAGAAAGCCTAGGTCTCTTAGATGACTATCTGGAGGTGGCCAAGCACTTCAGATCATACGGGTTCTCCAGGGACAAGGCTAAGGCGGGCTCCTCCGAATGGCTGGCTGTGGACGGGTTGGTCGATGCCTCAGACAACGGCAAGGGTGAGTAGCCCTCCATCAGCCGGTGTGGTTTGGGTCCATCATGGTGGTGTCTGGTGTTCGGGGTGTGTTGATACCACCTCTTCACTGTCTTTTGCAGAGGATGCCTTCTTCGGAACAGATTGGATGGTGGAGAAAATGGATCTGAAGGAGTTTGATTTTGATGCCATATTGAGTTTAGATGACCTGGAAACCATGCCAGATGAGCTTTTGGCCACATTGGATGACAGCTGTGATCTCTTTGACCCCCTAGACCAGGAGACTAATAAGGAGCCCTCCCAGACAGTGAACCCAATTGGCCATCTCCCAGAAAGTTTATCACAAACCGACCAGGTTGCCCCCTTCACCTTCCTACAACCTCTTCCCCATTCCCTAGGGGTCCTGGCTTCCACTCCAGACCATTCCTTTAGTTTAGAACTTGGCAGTGAAGTGGATATTTCTGAAGGAGACAGGAAGGCAGACTCTCTTCCTTATGTTCCAGTGGTCCCTCAGTGCATAAAAGAGGAGGATACCCCCTCGGATAATGACAGTGGCATCTGCATGAGCCCTGAGTCCTATCCAGGATCTCCCCAGCACAGTCCCTCCACCTCCGGGGGCTCTCCAAATAGGAGCCTGCTCTCTCCAGCTGCCCTTGCTGGCTCTGCTCGCCCCAAACCTTATGACCCTCCTGGAGAGAAAGTGCTAGCAGCAAAAGTAAAGGGGGAGAAATTGGATAAGAAACTGAAAAAAATGGAGCAGAACAAGACAGCAGCCACAAGATACCGCCAGAAAAAGAGGGCGGAGCAGGAGGCCCTCACTGATGAGTGTAAGGAGCTAGAAAAGAAGAACGAGGCTCTGAAAGAGAGGGCAGATTCCCTGGCCAAGGAGATCCAGTATCTGAAAGACTTGATAGAAGAGGTCCGCAGGGCCAGGGGGAAGAAAAGGGTCCCCTAGTTAGGGTAGTCAGGAGTGGGTGCTTGTACATAGGCCTATGCTGAAGCTATGTTGTAATAAATTCTTTTGTAGTGAAAGTACTTCTGCAGGTGTTCCTGTGTTTGTGGTTTCTTGCCTAGTAAGTTCACTTAACATTCCCAGGAGTGGGTTCTGGCACTTCATGTGAGACCAGAGGTGGGGGAGATTTAAGCACTAAAAACCCAAAGTGATTGACCCTGCTGGGGGTATAGATCATGGGAGCTCGTGGCTTGCATTGGAACCCTAGTTTGGGGGAGAGGTGGGCTTTAGCCCAATGGCTGGCTGGGTGTTTTTCCCGAAAACTCCATGGGGTTCCTCTTAACAGGAACCTGCTGGGGAGATCAGCCTGAGGGCCTACAGGGTGTCTGCAAGGGTAGAACTACCTTATGTCCACCTGTTGACACAATCTTGGCTGTAAGTACCCAGATGAGGTCACAGCCCTTAAGCCTAGAACTCAAGGTGATTGTTTCACTTCTAAGCTTTGCCAGCTCTGTTAGAGGTCTCTTCCTGAAGAGAGTGCAGAGAAAAGGCTTTAGATTTCTGTATCAGGCATTTAAGGGCTGGAGATTGTCCCCACTGTTCCCATGCGGTGGAATAAAATGCCCACCAGGTTGGTCTTCTGAGAATGCTGCTGCTGGGCCAGCTGAGAGGCCTGACCTCCCCATCAAGAGCCGTCAGGATGAGCCTGAGAGGTCTCAAAAGGCAGCTCTTGGGAGCCACGCAGTCTCCTTCCAATCCTGGACTTCTGTGTGGCTGGGTGATACACAATGACTACTTTGTAAGACAAGGCAGATGAACAGTCAAATACAAAACAGCCCATCAAGTCCAGGCGGGGCGGGGCCGATCTGTGTGAAGGAGATTGAGATTGCTGGCAGAGCAGCGAGGGTGAAGGTAGGCAAATGCATCACCATCTCACCCAGTCCCCGCAACAACCAATGAGGCAGGCATGGTGATGACCCCATCTTTAAACAGGAAACATGATCCTGGGCACAGTGGTAGAGCCAGAATTTGAACCCATGGGTCTGTTTCCTGGGTCTGGCCTCTGTGTTGTCTCTTGGAAGGGCTTGGAGTCAAGGAGCCTGCAGGGCAGGGCAGCCATTCTGGCCCACGTTGCCGAGGCCCAGCAAGGAGTAATTGCGGAGAGCAATTCCAGAGAGCCAGATGTAATGAACACAACTGGAGGCAGCTCAAATGGGAATGGGTACCTGCAGGCACCAGAGGGGTGGACATCACATGGGAGCTTTGGACCTGGTGATGTTTAAGGTCTTTTCTTCCCAGAGAATTCCCCCACAATGCCATGGGTCCTGCCTGTTAGCCTGGGAGTAGGGAGCCACCCATGTAGGTGCTATGGGGAGGGGTGTGGCTAACAGCAGAGGTTCTAGAACCAGACCCTGGCTTCCCTACATTTTGGCTGTGTGACCTTGGGCAAGTTACTTAACCTTTTTCTGTGCCATGTCTCAAGGGGCTTAGATGCCGGGTTCCTTCCTTTCTCCCTGCTTTTCACAGCTGACTCAGGCCTCATCCTTCGGTTTAAAATCCTTATTGAGGAGCTCACCCTGATCACCGCATCTAAGCAGCTTAACTGTTATCCGCTAAGTAGATGGGAATTTGCTGATTTAAAAAAAAATAGCACGGAATCAGCTATAAAAAACGAAAAAATCAAACCCATTGCCGTCAAGTTGATTCCAATTCATAGCAACTCTATGGGACAGAGTTTCCAAGGAAGGTCTGGTGGATTTGAACTGCTGATCTTTTGGTTAGCAGCGGTAGCACTTAAACTCTACACCACCAGGGTTTCCAGAATCAGCTAAAGGCATTGATATCATGAAAACTGAGTTCTATGCTAAGTGCTTTTTTATAAGGATCACTTCATTCTCATTTTACAGATAAAACTAAGGCTCAGAGAGGTTCAGTAACTTGCCCAGTCAGTAGATGGTAAATTCAAACCTAGGCAGTCTGACTCCAGGGTGCACACTTATAATCGGGGGTGGGGTGGGGTGGCTCCAGAATTTCTTACAGGCAGGGCCCAGGGGCAGCCATCTAGTTGGAAGGGGGGCCCTGGAGGCTTGTCTTCAAGCTAGGTGTTACACCCCTAAGCATTGTAGCCTGCTTTGACCAAGGGGGAGCTGGCCCAGGCTGGGGGACATGGGGTGGGGGCAGGAAGAGGATACAGTTGAGGAGGGGAGGTGAGAGACAGCAGCCCTGGACGTGCTCCAGCCACCTTGACAAGGCCCACCCAGAATCATCCTGGGCCCGTGCAGGCTGGCCTTGGAAAGAGCAGTGGTCCACACCTCATGTGGCAGGCTGGAAACTGAGGCCGGGGCCTGAAGCTGGGATGCTGGGCCAGTCCTTTCCCAGACCCCTGCAGCTAAGGCCTCCCGGGACCCAAAAGCCAGGGAGGGGACAGGGCAGCAAAGGCACTGGCAGAGTCCTGTGGGCTCAGCCCTTGTCCACCTCCCTAACCTCCTCCTCCTCCTCTACAGTGCTCCAGCCGCAGTGGCCTTCTGCACCTTTCGGCAAGCTCATTCCTGCCCCGGGGCCTTTGCACTTGCTGTATCTGCTGCCTGTGAGATTTTCCCACAACTTCTCCCTCTCTACATGCAGGTCTCTAATGTCAGCCCACCTGAGACCTTCCAGGACTGCCCCTGCTAATGTCCCAGCCCCTCTGCTTTACATGGTTTGAAGTTTTACATAGCCCTTATTTCTAGTTAGAGAGCCCTGGTGGTGCAGTGGTTAAGTGCTCAGCTGCTAACTGAAGGGTTGGTAGTTCGAACCCACCAGTCACCCTGTAGGAGCAAGATGTGGCAATCTGCTTCTGTAAATATTTACAGTCTTGGAAACCCTGTGGGGCAGTTCTACTCTGTCCTATAGGGTTGCTATGAATTGGAATCGACTAGACAGCAACAAGTTTACCGATATTTCTACCTGAGCTTATTTATTTGTATACAGAACGTTTATTTCCTGTCTTCCACTCCCCAGCTACAATGTAAGTAAGCTCTATGACAGCAGACATTCGCAGACATGTGCTTATGCAGAGCATAGAAAAATTGGAGTTGCCCCCCCACACGGTCCCGGCTGAGACTGAACAAGGTGACGCTGTAGCTTCCTGTTTCAGCCCTGGTACTGTAAACAAGTATCTTTTGCATGGTCTATTTAGTGCCACGTGGTTGTTTTGCATTTATGTGCTCTTTGCTGGTGATTCTGCTGTTTAAAATGGCCCCCAAATGTAGTGCTGTCCAGTGTTCCTAAGCCCAAGAAGGCCGTGATTTGCTTCTCAAAGAAAGTATGTGCATGAGATAAGCTTCATTCAGGTGTGAGTTTTAGTGTTGCTGGCGTGAGTTCAAGGTGAATGAATCAGTAACACATAGGAAACGTGTTCTTAAATAGAAATACTGCTCCTTTAGTTGGGTAATCAGGAAAGGCCTCCCAAGAAGCAAGGCCTGCAGGCAGTGAGGGGTAAGCCCCAGCAAAAGCCAGAAGGACTTGGGTGGAGAGCGTAGCTTGGGGCAGGACACAGCTTGCCTGTGGCCTTGTAGCCCTGATAAGGACTTTAGTTTCCCCATCCAAGCCCCTTGCTGCCCCTCGTGGTGGCACATCCTCTCCAGGCCTGCACCGGCCTCCCTGTTAAAATACAGATTCCTGGACCGGAATCTCAGAGGCGACCACTAACATCTGTCATGCAGAGGGCTGTGGACACCTTCTCTCTGCTATTGTCACTTGGGCAGATGTCAGATTTACCGGGAACACTGACTAGCAAGGAAGTATCAGAGCACTGCTCCCTTACTAGCTTGGTGGGCGTAGCCAGACTGGGTGCCGCACCCTCTCCACATGGGAGTGGCTGGGTGATTATGTAACAGCAGGCGTCCTTGTTAGAAAGGGGCCCCTAGAGCTCCTTGGCTGGGGTCAGCCTGTTCTTGCAGGGAGCAGCTGTGCCAGCTGCTGCTTTTTTTTTTTTTTAATTTTATTGTGTTTTATTTTAGGTGAAAGTTTACTGCGCACATTAGTTTTTCATTCAAAAATTTATACACAGATCATTTTGTGACATTGGCTGCAATCCCTGCAATGTGTCATGAGTCAGCTTCTTGCTAAGCTGCTTAAACGATGAAGGAAAGGAGTCCCCAAGGATCTCTGGGTCTGCCTCTCCCCAGTGGGCTCAGTTCGGCAGGCAAGAAGGAATGTGGAGACATGAGCCCACACGTCCCCTGCTCTGGGCAAGCCCAGCAGAGGCAGCTTTGGGTCCGACTCTCCTCTCTCCATGCCTGCCCTGACCTTCCGGCTGGGCAGCAGAGCCTCCTACTGCTCAGCTGAGGCCACCTGGAGAGGCAGGTTTGGTGGCCACCCTCCTCTGTCCCCACTCAGGATGGAAAACCGGTTCCTGTGGTTCTCGCCCCTGGTAAAAAGGCAGTCTGGCTGATGCCTATAGGGGAGTGACAGCTAGATTGGTTGGGTGTGGACACCTCCAACCTTGGGAAGTGGGTGGGGGTGAAAAACTCCCTCCTCTTCAGATAAGTACAGGCCGCTCCCAACCTCTGCAGTGGGGCAACCACTCATCAGGAGACGCCATCGTGGTGCTGGCAGTCACTCCCCATTTGACCCATCCATCCTCTCTGGGAACTGCCGTGACCCAAGCAGCCCTTCAGGCTGGGGGCACTGCCTTGGGACTGCAGGGTCTTCTTCTCCATGGGGCCACACCAAATACCACCTCCACGGAGGTGCTCTCGGCCTCCGTGACTTACTGTCTTCTACAATGAACACCAGCTCTGGCCTTACCGTTCCTTCACTCACAATGCGTATGTTCAACAGACACCTGTCCCTTACCTCCCCTGACCCGTGCACTGTCTGCCCACGGGGGTGCAGTCACAGCTCCCAGCACCACCTTTCTGCCCAGGCACAAACCTGAGCAGGAAATCTCGTTTCTTAAGGCTACCTCTGAGACCCCTCCCTCATGTGGCACAGGTAAGAATAGAACTGCACCTGACCCCTCTTGGTCACTCTTATGCCCTGGGTGACGGCAGGCCTGGCAGAAATTCTCTGCTGATGACAACAGCAGACCCAACGCACCCTGGGGTGGGAGGGTTGAGAACGTGGTGGCAGCTTTCCTGGGTAAGACAGCTGCCTAGCTGGAGCTGGCCCAGCGGACTTGTGACCCAAAACTCTAAGATCCATGCTGGGAAGAAGGGGGAAGGGAGGGAAGGCTCTTGGGTGACACCCACAAGTCAGGCCAGAGTCACACACACGGCTGCTGGGTCTGCATTTATTAGCATCCAGGAGACCACCCAGCAGCCCTCCTCCTATTCCTGGGGTGTGGCCTGAGGGCCCAGGAACTGGCCGAGTTCCACAGCAAACAACCCTCCCTGAGCAAAAACAAAACAGTCAGAAATGTTCCCTTCTGGCAGGTGCAATGGCTCCTCCCATGCCTGCAGCAGTCAGTTCCAGGCTGAGTGTAAATCCTTTCCAGTGTTTTCCGGCTCACCAGCTCCGTCCCAGTCTCCACCTGGCTCCGCTCGGGGTCTTCCCCAAGCCAGGCTGGCCCTGCAGTGCCATCTGCTGGCCATGCCGCGCATGGCTAGGTCCTGGGGGAGGCTGGGCCACCCGTGTCTCCCCAACTGCTGTGCTCTCCTGGGGACCTAGCTGCCGAAGTACTCCTGCTGGAACTTCTGGAAGTCCTCCTCAGTGAACACAGTGCTCTCAGCCTTCTTATTCTTCTTCATCTTGGCCACAGGCCGGTCACAGGCCTTGCGGCCTCGGTTCTGGAGCAGAATCTGGGGACGGCACAGGAGTTAGACTTCCAGGACTGCCCCTGGAGCTGACAACCTGGCACAGCGGACCAAGTGCTGTCCCCCACGTGGCCTCACAGCCATCTGGGAGGCGGGCACAGCACTCCCACTTACAGAAGAGCAAACTGAGGCGCACAGAGGTCCCAGGTGAGAACGGTGAAGGGCAGGGCTCAGCCTCCTCCTCCCCTTCCCTGCTCTCTCCCCGTACGGGGAGCCCCCTGGGGTGGCCCAACTTCTGCCCTAGGTTCAGGCTGTGACCCCCATGGATCCCGAGGGAGCAGCCTCAGCCATGATCCCCCAGGTCCCTTCCCGTGGCCCATGCCCCCAGCCAACCTGCCGGGTGACAGCCTCAGCCACGGTGATTCTGGCACACGTCATGAACTTCAGGTTTGTTTTCAGGTGGTCCTGACATTCTCGCTTCTGGAATTCAGCTGTGGGGAGCAGGAGGGGGCATGGTTTCCCATTCACTCCCTGGAAGCCTTCTGGGTCCCCCTCCTGACATGCCCCCTGACCCCTCCTTCCATGGCCCTGACAAAGGCCCTATCATCTCTTCCCTAGATTGTTGCAACAGCCCTGGTGCTTCAAATCCACTCTCCACACACATCCTGTTGAAAGCCCCGCCCCCAGGCTCCCAGCTGCTCATGTAATTTATTCACTTATTCAACAAATATGTCCCAAGCACCTATGATGTGTCAGGCACCATTCTAAGTACTAGGCTTACGGCAGGAGACAGAACAGACAAAAATTCCTGCCCTATGGTGCTTACATTCTAGTGGGAAGAGAGATGGTCAACAAGATAAGACTATCTGAGAGGGTGATACATTTCATGGAGAAAAACAACGGTAGGAAACAGAAATGCACAATACCAGGAGTGGGGATTGCAATTTTAAAGCGGGGTGGGGGGTCTGAGAAGGCTTCACTAAAATGACATTTGACCAAAGACTCAAGGGAGGGAGCGTGTGGCTATCTGGAGAAAGGGCGTTCTAGACAGAGGACTAGTCAGGGCAAAGGCTTTGCAGCAGACACGTGACTAATGTGTCTGAAGAACCGACAACAGCTGGACAGGAGGGAGAAGCAGTGAGAGATGAAGGTGGAGCGGGGCCAGATCAAGCAGCGCCTCGTCTGCAGTGGTAAGAACTTGGGCTTTTACTCTGAGTATGATGGGGGCCACTGGAGCGTAGAAGGTAAAGCAGAGACAAGCCTGACTTAGAATTTTACAGCATCATTTTGGCTGCTGTGATGAGAACAAGATTGTGGGGGGTGGGGAGTAGAAGGAGGAAGACCAGCTAGGAAGCTTCTGCAATAATCTAAGAAGAGGAAGATGTAGCTCAGACCAAGGAGGCAGATAGATGCTTTCAGAACGGCCAATGGGGGTCACCACTCCTCTCAATTATGCACAATCCCTGTGCTGGACACCAGGGCCACAGACAAGCCCAAGGGAAGTGGTGCCTTCGAGGAACCCCTAGTTCAATGGAGGAGGCAGCCAAGTGAACACCAGTGATGGGTGGTGGGACAAGGGCTGGGATCGATGGGGGTGACTCTGCTCCTGCTTCACAGCAAACCTCATTGTGGCTCAAACGTGTCTCACGTTCCTGCCTTCACACCTTTACGCGTGCTGTGCCCCCGTGGCATTCACAATTCTTTTAACATATACTTGAACACCTTTTATGCGCCAGGCCTGAGGATTCAAAGACACACTAGGAGCTCACCAAGTCCTGCCACGTGTCAAAATACCTACCATCCTGCCTGCCCCAAGTCCTTACCTCTTATCAAGTGGCACCACATCCCCCAAGGCAGCACTGTACTAGAAATCCAGCTCCATTCTCTGTACCTCCCTCTTCCTCAACTGTCACAGCCAAAGCACCACTAAGTCCACCAACACTTCCTCTTTACCGTATCTGCCACCTGCTCAATTCTTTTGTTATCTCTGCTGCCTTCGCCACTTCCCAGGCCACAGTGCCTCCCACCTGAACGGAACAGGTAAAAGCATAGACTCAGCCTGGTTTCAAATCTGGCCCTACTATTGACCACCTGTATGATCAGGCCAAGCGTCTGTTTTCCCATTTGCAAAATGAGTAATAGTACCTGCTGTGAGACTTAAGGGAGGGACGCTTGTACAGGGGACTTGGCACACAGCAAGTATTAAAGGACTGTTTGTTAAATGCTTCATCCCTGACCACTCTCTCCTTGTTCGTGTATGTCACCTCCCCTGCCTTCTTTCTTCAAATTCTCAAGGGCAACAGCTCCTTTCTGACTCAGTACCTCTGCACATGCTGTTCCTGCAGAATACTCTTCCCTACTGGCTCACTCTCATATTCCTTCAGGTCTCATCCTAAATGTCCCTTCTCAAAAAAACCTGTTTTGATCTTTTATACGAAGTTCCCCTTTACACTCTCTCAGAGCACTGTGGTCTTTTACTTGGCAGACCCCATCATACTTGGCAATTATTTGCTGTTTTGGAGATACTTTGATGCATCTCTCCCCACTAGGATGTAGTCCACGAGGACCGATGTGTGTCGTTCACCTCCGTACTCCCAGGACCGCCCAGGGCCTGGCACACAGTAGGTATTCTAGAAATCCCTGTTGAACTTCTCAAGCCTTGCCCCAAGCGCCACCTCCTCTAGGGTGCCGACCCCAACCCCGGGGGCAGCACGTCCAGCCCCTTCCTGAACTCACCCAGCGCCGACTTGGGCACCTTTCCCTTGGCCGAGTTCCGCAGTTTTCGGGTCTGGGTCGCCTTTGCCTTCCGGGCCCGCTTCACCGAAGCCCGGCTCGGCTTGGCCTGGTTTGGCGCGGCCTGGGGGGCTGTAGGGGAAGACAGGAGCGGACTAGGGTCATAAGGGCAGGCAGCATACCCATCCCACTGGGGGAAGGGCCGTCCTTCCTCGTTGCGCAGTCCCGGGACTCCGGCCCTCAGCTCCCACCGCTCACCCGCCCGCGCCGGACGTCCCGAGCAAGCCCCCCTCACCCTCTGACTTCGCCAACAGCTCCAAGCCCCGCCGCAGCAAAGCAGCCGACATGCTTGCGCTCAGCTCCGCCCACACGCCTGACGCTATTTCCGCCTTGGCAGTTCTCACCGTCTCTCTGGAAACCCAGGCCTGAACAACAGGTTCCGGAGCAGGCAGGCGGAAGTGCCAACCTTCCTTAGGACGCATGCGTTAGGGGTTGCCCAATTTACTACGGAGAGGGAAGAGGGGCAGGGACTGGGGGGGGTGGAGCCAATACGCAGAAGGACACATTTGTTGTCCAATCCCAACCCGACTGTCATTTCGCGAGCCCGGAAGACGTCCACAGCTATCCCAGCCTGGTTGGTCAACCTTCTCAGGTCCGAAGTTCCGTACTGGGCGGGGCGAGCGTGGGGCGGGGTAGAATGGTAGCAAAAAACTCAAACCACTTGGAGTTGAACCGGACTCATAGTGACCATATAGGGCAGAGTAGAGCTGCCCCATAGGGTTTTCAAGGAGCAGCTGGTGGATTCCAACCATCCACCCTTTGGTTAGCAGCCAACTCTTAACCACTGAGCCATCAGCACCGTTCTCAATTGTTACCAAAAAGGAAACTGAGGCCTGGAGCTGGCGGGGTGACCTATAGGTCTCTGTCCTTCAAGGCCCAGCCCACGCGCCGCTCACAAGGAACGTGGCCCATTTGTCTTCCTTTACCCCAATCTTGATGGCTTATGTTTGCACAGTGACTGGGAGCTTACCAGTTAGTAATCTTTAAAGATTGCTGGCATTTAAATACAGTCACTGGCCACGTGGTGCGAACACCGATCTCTCAATACCTGGGCTGTCATCTCTTCAGCCCTTATCTCCACCTTTCTTCACCCTCATGCCTGTAGCTGCCTCTTTACTGCTCTCTCTGCCTCTGGACCCCTCTAATCCATCCTCCCACGGCAGCCAGAGCGACCTTTCCAAATCTGACTGCAGCACTCTCTGGCTGGAGAGCCTTCAGTAACTCCCTGTTGCTTTTAGAAAATAGACCATACTCCTCACCTCGGTGTAGTAGGCCCTGCGTGACCCTGACTTGGCCTTCTCTGGATGTGTGGGACTTTCCTCCGGACCTGCCTTTGTCCTAGTACGGGGGTGGGGAGGAGGGTGGCAAAAACCCTTTCAGGTCCCCTTGTGTCTACTGTATATCTATGCAGGCCTGGATTTTTTCCATATACTTCAACCAAGCTAACATATTGCACACATTGAGTGCAGAAGGAGACCTGAGACTCCAGCTGTCTACTATTAAGCCAGACCCATTAAAGAGTTTTGCAAAAACTGCAAAGCAATGTCAATCTTTCCCACTATTACTATTATTATTTTTTGGAAATACAATTATTTTTCATAAAATATTTATATTAACATACATTGGGTTTGTTATTATTTTAAATGAATTAATATTAAAAAAATTTCTCAATCTTAATTTCTAACATGGTAAATATCAATAGATGTAACTCATATACAAAAGCTCTTTGGGATCCTCATTTTTTAAGAATGTAAAGCAGTGGTAGACTTCACCAAAAGAGTACAAAAGACAACCTACAGACTGGGAAAAAATTTTTGGCTACAACAAATCCGATCAGCGTCTAATCTCTAAAATCTACAAGAGACTGCAAAACCTCAACAACAAAAAGACAAATAACCCAATTAAAAACCGGGCAAAGGATATGAACAGCACTTTGCCAAAGAAGACATTCAGGCAGCTAACAGACACAGCAAGAAATGCTCACGATCATTAGCCATTAGAAAAATGCAAATCTAAACTGCGATGAGATACCATCTCACCCCAACGAGGCTAGCATTAATCCAAAAACACAAAATAATGAATGTTGGAGAGGTTGTGGAGAGACTGGAACACTTATACACTGTTGGTGGGAAAGTAAAATGGTACAACCACTTTGGAAATTGATTTGGCACTTCCTTAAAAAGCTAGAAACAGAAGTACCATATGATCCAGCTATCCTACTCTTTGGAATATATCCTAGAGAAACAAGAGGCGTCCCATGAATAGGTACATGCACACCCATGTTCACTGCAGCACTGTTCACTATAGTAAAAAGATAGGAACAACCTAGGTGCCCATCAATGGATGAATGGATAAGCAAATTATGGTATATTCACACAATGGAATACTACCCAATGATAAAGAACAACGATGAATCCTTGAAACATCTCATAACATGGATGAATCTGGAAGGCATTATACTGAGTGAAATTAGTCAGTCACAAAAGGAAAAATATTGTATGAGACCACTATTATAAGAACTCCAGAAAAGGTTTAAACACAGAAGAAAACATTCTTTGATGGTTATGAGGGTGGGGGTGGGGAGAGGGGTATTCACTAACTAGATAGCAGATAAGAATTATCTTAGGTGAAGGGAAGGACAACACACACTACAGGGAAAGTCAGCACAACTGGACTAAACCAAAAGCTAAGAAGTTTCCTGAATACAACCAAACACTTCAAGGGATAGAGTAGCAGGGGCAGGGGTCTGGGGACCATGGTTTCAGGGGACATCTAGGTCAATTGGCATAACAAAGTTTATTATGAAAATGTTCTGCATCCCATTTTGGTGAGTGGCTTCTGGGGTCTTAAAAGCTAGTGAGCAGCCATCTAAGATGCATCAATTGGTCCCAACTCACCTGGAGCAAAGGAGAATTAAGAACACCAAAGATACAAGGAAAATACTAGTCCAGGAGACAGAAAGGGCCACATAAACCAGAGACTCCATCAGCCTGAGACCAGAAGAGCTAGATGGTGCCCGGCTACCACCAATGACTACCTTGACAGGGAACACAACAGAGAGTCCCTGATGGAGCAGGAGAAAAGTAGGGTGCAGCACTCAAATTCTAGTAAAAAGACCAGACTTAATGGTCTGAGACTGGCGAGACCCCAGAAGACATGGCCCCTGGACTCTCTGTTAGCTCAGGACTGAAACCATTCCCGAAGCCAACTCTTCAGACATAGATTAGACTGCGCTAGACATAAAATGATACTCGTGAAGTGAGTGCTTCTTAGCTCAAGTTAGATGCATGAGACTAAATGGGAAGCTCCTGTCCAGAGGTGAGATGAGAAGGCAAAAAGGGACAGGAGCTGGTTGAATGGACACAGGAAATCCAGGGTGGAAAGGAGGAGTGTGCCGTCACATTATAGGGAGAGCAACTAGGGTCACATAACAATGTGTGTATAAATTTTTGTATGAGAGACTAACTTGAACTGTAAACTTTCACTTAAAGCACAATAAAAAAACAAAGCAACAGTTCTGAGACCAGAAAGTCTGAGAACCTCTGGCCTAGAAATTACTCTTCTTGCAGTGGGGAGGGACCCTGACTTGTCTTCTGCTGCATCTGCAGCTCCTAGCCCAGCACCTGGCATGCAGGAGGCACTAAATAAATGAATGGTGAGTGGAGGGGAATGACTTAGTTCACTGAGTAAGCATGTCCTGGACACTGCAGAGTGTGGGGCACAGGGGTGACTCAGCTGGTACTTTCCCAAATGGGCCTCACCATCTAACCTTCAGGAGCCCTGCTGGTGCAGCAGTTAAGTGCTCAGCTGCTAACTGAAAGGCCAGTGGTTCGAACCAACCAGCTGCCCAGAGGCAGAAAGATACGGCAGTCTGCTTCCATAAAGATTACAGCCTTGGAAACCCTATAGGGCAGTTCTACTCTGTCCTATAGCGCAGCTATGAGTCAGAATTGAATTGATGGCAATGGGTATCTAACCTTCACTGGCTAGTCACTTAAACAGATACTAATAATAACAGCAAACACGATGTCAAGGTCCAGTTCTAAGTGTTTCACATTTGTTAACTCATTTTGCCCCCATGAGGTTTGAGGTAGGCACTACTGTTTTCCCCATTTTACAAATGAGGAAAGAGAGGCACAGACAGCCCAAGAAACCTGTGGAGGTCACATAGGCGGTGTTAGGGAATCAAGACAGCCTGTTCTGACAGTTTGTCTGCTGTGGGACAGCCGTGGGGAGCAGTGCTGTCACCAGGAAGCATTCACACCATGCGGGCTGGGGGAGGCCTCAGAGGAGGAGGAGGAGCTGACCATGTGGGGTGGGAGGAGTGTATGTGTGGGGGGAGTGGGAAGTGTGTTGGAGTGTCCTAGGCAGGAGGACCCCGTAATGAGTGCCTGACCCCTGTGAGTGGCCCCAGAGAAGAATTAAGGGATGCCATGGAGGACAGGGTGGCCTCAAGTTCCCCGGGCTTGATTTTGCCCTGAGGTCTGTGGGGGGCTCTGGATAGAGGGATTGGTTAGACATGCGCTTTTTTCCTTGCTTCTAAAATAGCCAGATGGTTTTCTATTTCATTATGCTTACTGCTTATTGTCCGTTTCTGCACCCATACCCCAGTGTAGGCTCTACAGAACACGGATGTTTGTTCTGTTCATTTTTATGTCCTCACTGCCTGAAGCAGAGCATAGCATATAGCAAGTGCTCCATAAATGCACAAATTGAATGGATGAAGGTTGAGTTTGGCATGCCAGTGGCAGCGAGGTGGCGACGTCCAGGAGGGGCGGGATGTGGGAGTCTGCCCCTCAGGGCGAAGGACCCAGCTCTATAGTATCCCCCGTCCCCCGCCCCCAATCTGGGCTGGTAAACACATGGCCCCAGGTGGAGGAATTCTTTGTATTCCCATGTCCCGGGGGACAGGGGCGCCCGGAGGCCGAGTGGATTCCCGCAGCATCCCGGGCACCTCGCAGGACAGTAGGCGGAGACGCTCAGCCAATCTCGGGCGAAGGAATCTGTGGTTCCGGCGGCGCCGGGCGACCACCTCATGCACTAGGTGGCGCCGCAGGACAGCTTTCCAGTGCGGCGCGTTTGGGTGATACCGTCGGCTGTGGCTCAGGTTGGGGTGTCCGATTAGAAGTGTGGGATCCGAACGCCTGCTTTTAAGACAGCCCCGCGTGGCCTGGGCTTCCTACTATCCCTGCCCCGCAGCCTTCCATGCCCGGGGCTAGACACCTCTCCTGGGCCTGGCTTGACGGTGGGACACGTGGGTGGGGAAGCTGAGGCAGAGCCACTAAGCTGGGCTGCCCAAGGGGGAGGTG